GGGCGTTCGAATGGTTGCGACATGCGCGCGCGAGAGGCCCGCTTGTTCGCATGCGATGAACATATATATATATATATATATATATATATATATATATACATGTGTGTGTGTGTGTCTGTGTGTGTGTGTGTCCGTGTCTCTGTGTGTTGTGCGTTGTGTGTTGTGTGTTGTGTTGTGTGTGCTGTGCGCTTGTATGTGGTTTAAAGCATGTTGCAAACGCATTGCGGCTTATGTGCTCGGGAAACTCGATCGTGAAAGCCGATAATATATATGTACATGTATACATATACCAAACACTGTTTTAGAGCAAATGTGGCATGCGCGCGCGACGTCGCGTGTGTTGCGATTTTGCCACATTATGTTTGCGAGGGAGTCTTGAAATCGATGATGTTTGATAAACGGGTGGGCGCGCATAGATTTGTTTGACAACGATAACGGGGGGTCGGCACCAGCCTGCCTGGTATGGTATGAGTTCATATGATAAATGATTGGCGAGGCAAAATCATATGTACACTGTAGATTCCCTTGGGGCACCGCGAGGACAGGGGGGGGTAGATCCGGTTCTCTTTTGGGCGGATCTATGCGTTTCGCTGTCCATTTTGCGCAATGTATAGCGCAATTGAATTTTGTTCGCAGCGCGTTGTCAACCCCATTGTTCGCGAAATCACCCCACCCACCCACCCGCAAAATGGTTTGCAAAACCCATGCGGCGGCGATTGCGATGATTGCTCGGCGCTGGCTGTCGCCTCGCCGCGGCCGGGCTAGCGCGCGCAGTCTCGCACTCAGAGCGGCCAGGTTGTTTGGCATGTGCAAATCACATATGGTTATGCTCCATCGTTGATTTGCCACGTGAAATCGGACCATCCAAGCCCAGCCAGTATCGACTCCCCCCCCGCCATCTTTGCAAAAAAGGCTCTATACACGCGCAGTCGTTGATCAAAAACCGTAGTTGTTCAAGAATCCCTTGCAACAGATTGGACGAAGAGAGACGAAGAGAGCACGCGCGCGCCGTCGCGCGCGCATGCCAATGTTTCTCAAAAGCCTCGGGTGCCGCACGGATTTCGAGATCGCGCGCCCCGGAAACAGATCAGATTCGCAATGGTTTCGCCACCTGGTTTTCTTAAACCCAAAAAATCCGAAAAATCCGCGTGCGCCTTCGCGAATTCTTATGGAACCGCCCGCTTTAGAACATGATCGTCAAATGCGACCAAACGGGCCATTCGCGCGCGCATGTCGAGGTCAGTGGAACGCGCTTGCGCGCGTGGTAAGAGGAGGGGGTCCGATCCCTGAGAAATAACACCACGCGGGCCTTCCGTGCCCGCTGGCCGCTCGCACATGTGGAAGCCCGCCCAAAAAACCTTCATCACCGACACGTGGACACCATTATCGTCGTCGGCGTGATCAGCATTGGCGCCGTCATTGGCCTTGCCTTCGGCATCGTCGTCGACGTCACAAGCACTACGATCATCATCGCGTCCGCCGTCGCCGACGTCGCCATGATACCGCGCGCGCCCGAGCCACCGACTCGCATGGAAGTGCCCGCGCGTCATCGCGGCCTGCGAGACGCGTTGCGAAGTCCCCAACGGTCGGCGCTTCCGCGGCCGCGTCGGTCGCGCCAGACTAGCCGGCCGCTCTGCGCGCAGGCCTGCGCGCGCAAGTTGCGGGCGGGTGGGTGGGGCTCTCGATTTTGAAATCCGCGCAACAGCCATGGTTTTTGAGAGATACCAGCATGCGCGCGCGACGACGCGCGCGCGCTCACGTCGGCAAGGGGTTCTTGGAATCTTACGACGTTTGACAAGCAACTGTGCGCGCATATCGCCTTTTGCAAGGATGGCGGGGGGTGGGGGGTGGGTCGACGCTGGCTGGGTTAGGATGGTCCGATTTCGTGCACATGCCAGACCAATTGGCCGCACTGACGCGAGCCTGCGCGCGCCGGCGCGGCCGCAGCGAGGCGCCAGCGAGCACCAAGCAGTCATCGTAATCGCCGCCGCATGGGTTTTGCAAACCATTGTGCGGGTGGGTGGATAGGATGATTGCGCGAGCAGCGGAGCTGACAGTTCATTGCGCTGACACGTTAACGCGACGCACAAAGAAAGTTGATTCCACCACACCCGAGGGCGGGCTGAACGGCACCCCCTGGGGCTTGCTATTTACATGTGATGTTGCCACACGGTCATTGAACATCTGAAATCATATGACCTTAGCCCAGCAGATATTGGCTCCCTTTTTTTTCCATCCTTTGCGCAAACAGCACTACGCGCGCACAGTCGTCAACCCAAAAAACGGCAATGCCAATCATCCGTTGCAACACATTGGACAAAGTGCACGAGCGCGCGCCGCGGCGCACGCGTGCCCAACTCATTCACAAGCTCAGGTTCGCAAGGATGACATCTAAACTTCATGGATTTGCAACGCCAGTTTTGCTGCAAAGCAAATAAACTTCATGGATTTGCAACGCCAGTTCTGCTGCAAAGCAAGCAACAAGTCTTGCGACGACGAGGCGGCGACGGGGCGGCGACGGCGGCAGCGCGCCCGCCAGTCCGACCGTCGGGCCCCGACGACGGGCGGCGACGACGCGGCGCCGGCGGCCGCATGCCCGCCAGACCGACCGCCAGGCCCAGACGACGGGCGGCGACGACGCGGCGACTCTGAGCGTGAATTACCTACCCCGCTTTCGCTTCCAGGCAAAACCAAGTCATACCACGCGCCTCCTCGTCAAGCGGCCTGACCAGTACTGGCCGTAGTTTGGCATCGCTTGGTATCTCTTGGAAGCGAGGGTGGTCAAAAGCGAGGTAGGCTTGTTTTCCCCCTAGCGACGGCGCGGCGACGGCGGCAACATACCCGCCAGACCGACCGTCAGGGCCAGTTCCTTAGAACAAAAGTACGTACGACCCCGAAGTGCAAGCATTTTTACGGGGAAGGTTGCGCAGCCTAGACTCTCCTTTTCTGGAAGATGTTGGGGTCCCCCACCACCACCCGCGGAAGTAACGCCTCTTTTTTCGCATTGCAATATACATTTCTTTCTGCCCCATCGCCCCTCCTAAATATGAATTCGGACCATCACAGGCAGGCCGGTATGGCCCCCCCCTTTCTTCTCCTGCAGCAAACGCTATGCGCGCACATTCGCTTATCAAAAATCATCCGCATTCGAGAAACACCGTGCACATAAAGTGACGAAGTGCGCGCGCGCGTCTTCGCGCGGGCGCCCCGAAAGCTGTCGAAAACCGAAGGTTTCGCAATAGTTTCGAAATCGAGGATTGAGAAAACATATAAAACAACTTTGGTTTCGCAACAAGAATGTTCAAAACAAACTTGTGCTCGAGCTCTTGCGAATTCTGAATAAAACCATCGGTTTTCAAGACTGTCAGAACTTGCTACCAAATGGGCCTCCCGCCCGCGCGCACGTCGGAGTCGCTCGAACGCCCATGCGCGCGTGCTGACGCATGAACCCCGTGCAACAATTACAACGAGGTGCACGCGCGCCTCGTCGCGCGCGCGCATGCCGAAATCCTTGAAACATTTTAAGTTTCGTATGGATTTCAAAATCGAGCGTCCCGAAAGCATTGTTTAACACAAAAACACGGGTGGCAACATCAGTGTCCCAAAATGCATGCGCTCGCGCCCCTGCGATTTGTTAAGAAAACCATGCGTTTTCAACATGTTCACTAAAGTTTGCCCATCGGGCCCCTCGCGCCGCACGCCGAAATCATTCGAACGCCCTTGTGTGCGTGCTTTTTTGGGGGGGCACGATCCGTGTCAAATAGTACCATGCAGGCCACTATCGCGCATCCGCCGGTCGCGCGCGCATGTCGAGCTCCTTCCGAAGTTTTCATCACCGACGCGAGGACGCCGTCGTCGTCGCTGGCGTGATCAGCATCGGCGCCGTCACTGGCCTTGCCGTCGTCTTTGTCATCATCGTCATTCGCATCGCTTCCGTCATCACGTCTACCGTTGACGGCATTGCCATGATACCGCGCCCGCCCAAGTCGCCGATTCGCACTGGGGTGCCCGCTGGGAAGTGCCCAGCGGTCAGCGCCACCGCCGCCGCGTCGGTCGCGCCAAACTAGCTGGCCGCTGCGCGCGCGAGTATGCGCGGGCTTGCGCGGCCGATGCACCAGCCAACTCCAGGCACTCATCGCAATCGCCGCGGCATGGGTTTTGCAAACCAAGTTGAGGGCGGGTGGGTGGGATGATTGCGCGAACAGTGGAGTGGACAGTTCTTTGCGAACAGAAATCAATTGCACAACATGCGCTGCGCCACATAGGTTGGTCCACCCAAATGGCACAACATAGGAAGACTTCTAGAGACGTAGTGTGTGGGGTCCACGCTGGCCGACAATATTCCCTAGATTTGAAAATTCAACTGCAACAGAAACAATGATGGTAAGACTGTTCGTCCTTATGTGCTCGCATGGTTTTCAACATGTATATCAAAAGCCCTCGACCGCCCGCCTTTTCGTTTTCGAGCATACCCCCTTGGGGGCTGATCTTCCTTACTTGCCGCGCGTGGTTCGCGCAGGCCTACAACAGGGGAAGGGGGAGGGAGAAGGATAGAACACGAGAGAGATTAGCAGGCGGGGGGTTCGGAGCAGGAAGATAAGCGGCATAACCAAACGGCCTGTTCGGGCGGGCGGACCTTCACAGGCGGGGCGGGCGGGCGGGCCCACGCGGCTAGGTCGAGCGGGCGGGTCGCTGAAGCGTAAGTCGCGTCAATCTTGCTTGAATATTCCGGAAATCTCGTGCGATGACACGATCCCCAGGGAAATCGTCAGGAGTTCCAAAGCGAGAGCGTGAGTTTTGAGTGTTGCGGGCGCGGCGGTTCAATAGATCGCGAGGAAGTACCGCGCGGCAGTAAGACTCCTGCATAAAGCGTCAACAAGGCCAGCGCGAGAGCGCGATTGTGAATAAATTGTGAAGAAGTATCAGGCGGGAGTCGTTGTTGTTGTAGTTCGGGGGGCGCCAACGCAGTCTGAGGCCTAAGATTTCCCCTTTGCCAAAAAAGTGCGAGCCCTGGGAGGGGCGCCCAATTGAAAAACACCATTGGCTCCACGGGGGGGATCAACAGTTCTTCTGTGTAAAAAATAACATTCAACACAAGCGTCGAGGTTGGCATGCTGCTTGCAGCGATCAACCAGAGCAACAATCCGCACCGCGGAACCCAGCTTCAGCCACGCACCCAGGGACAACGGAAGACCGTTCGGCCCCTCACTCTGACTTGCGCCCGCCGTGGTCTTTTTCATGACGCGCGGACGCCAGGGAGGCAGTGGGCGCACGCCCTGGGCCTGCTGGGGGATCTGCGGCTGGGCCGGCTGCAGCCCGACGTGGTCGCCTACACCGCGGCCATGGGCGCCTGCGAGCGGGGGCGGCAGTGGCTCTTGGCGCTGCTGCTGCTGCGGCAGATGCCGGCCCACGGCGTGGCCCCCGAGAGGCCCGCCTTGCAGGCCGCCCTCGGCGCCTGCGGGGCAGCAGGCAGCTGGCAGGCGGCCCTGGCGCTACTGCGGGGCGCGAGCGCGTTCGGGCTCCCGCCGGACCCGCTGGCCTACAACGCGGCGCTGAGCGCGCACGAGGCGCCGCAGGAGTGGCGGCGGGCGTTGCTCCTCCTGGCCGAGATGCCGCGCGCGGGCGTGCGGCCCAGCAGCGTGACGCTGTGCACGGCCATTAGCGTGTGTGAGAAGGCAGGGCAGTGGTGCCGCGCCCTCCACCTCCTGGGCCAACTCGACGCGCTGAGCCTGGAGGTCGACGTCGTCGCCTGCAGCGCCTCTGCGAGCGCGTGCGAGCGCGGCGCGCTCTGGCTCCGAGCGCTGGGCCTGCTGAGTGTCATGCAACGGCGCCGCGTGGCGCTGGACGCCACCACCTTCGGCTCCGCCGCCGCCGCCTGCGACAGGCGTCGCCGCCGCCGTCTTCGCCATCGCCGCTCTCTCCGCCGCCCGCCACCCACGGCAGGTGCCGCCATCGCCGCCGCCGCCGCCGCCGCCGCCGCCTGCGACAGGCGTCGCTGTCGCCGACGTCACCGCCGCCAGCTTCGCCATCGCCGCTCTCGCCGCATCGCCGCTCTCGCCGCCAGCGCCGCCGCCTGCCGCCGCCTGCCGCCGCCTGCCGCCTGCGACAGGGCCGGCCACGCAGCGCGCTCGGGCAGCGTGCACGCGTCGCAGCGCAGGGCGATGCAGCGGCACCTCGCCAGGGGTGCGGGCGGGTGGACGCTGGGCAGCCTGGTCTCCGCGGAGGACGCCCTGTGGGGCCTGGGCGGCGCGGAGGCCGCGGCCGGCGTCGTGGAGCGGCGCGTGCGCGGGCCGCTGGCCGAGGCCTTGCGCCGCCTGCGGGGGGCGCGGGGCCGCGGCGGAGTCGGCGCCCGCGCGCGCGCCGCGGCCCTGCTGGCGGAGGTCGACGGGCTGGGGCTGCCAGCCACCAGGCTGGCCCTCGCGCCCTGCGGCGGCCGGGCCCGGTGATGCCTGGCCGGCCGTCGAAGCCTCCGTCGCTCCGGCCGCCGCTCCTCCGGCGGTCGCCTCGGCGGTCCCGCCGCAGGGCGGCCGCACGGCCCGTGGGCCGGGATGGCGGCGGCAGGGGGCGGCGGGCACGGCAGTCAGGGGCAACGTCGGGGGGCGTTTTCAGGCGGTTTGGTTGGTGCTCGGCTGCTGTCCAGCCTCGGGGTGCTCTCCAGCAGCTGCGCCTCGCCGAGGGCGTTCCCAGGGTGTCTGGACCATCCCGACTAGGCAACGGGGAGCCGAGTTATAATTCGAAAGCCAGGGGACCACGTTCGGGGGGGGGTATCGACGCCCAAGTCGCCCGATTATTCTCGGGAATCCACCGCCACGGATCAACCTGACTGTCGCGTATTGACGATCCTGAATCGCGCCAGAACGCCATTCTTGCGACTTCAGCACCGCGAATCAACGCAATTGTTGCACCATCATAATGTTGCACCTCTCCAGAACACAATTTCTGGTACATTGGCCATGGGAACTTTTGAAACTCTTGCAATGCTCAGCATGGGGTTTGCGCGGCGCTATTGCGAGAGCCACAGTTTGAAAGCGAACCGCCCTCATTTCGTGAAACTCATGCAATTTGTTGAACGAATGTGCGCGGCGCTGAGGCGAGAGCCACATTTTGAAATCGAACCGCCCTCAATCCGTGAAACTCTTACAATTTGTTAAAACGAACGTGCACCGCCCTCAATATGTGAATCTGTTGCTTGTTTGAAAAGGAATGTGCGCGGTGCTAGAGCGAGAGCCACATTTTGAAAACAAACCGCCTTCCATCTGTGAAGCTGTTGTCAATGTTTCAGCTTCAGGGTCGTAAATCGTGAGGAAGTCTCCGGCGAAACGCACGGCCCGCCCTTTCGACCAGCCTCGGGGTGCGACAGGGAGATGTTCTGTATGAGGAAGAGGAATGGAGGAGGACGAGGAGGAGGAGGAGCTGGAGGAGCTGGAGGAGGCCCCACCCCCCACCTCTCGAGCAAGTCGTGCTGCTGGGCCCCGCCGAGAGAAGAGGCCGTCCCCGGGGGCGCCGCGGGTGCACGGAGGGACGCGCTTCCTCCGGCAGGCACAGCTCCCGCGGGCGCGCGCCCTCCCCAGACCTCCTCGAGTAATGAAAAAATCATGACAGGAGGTTTTTCCTAATTTTCGGCCTCTGGGGGCCCTCACCGGGCCTCGGGAGCGTCAAAAAACGACTCAGGATGCAAAGCCGGTCATGGAGAAAGGGTCGGGACCTCTGGGGGTCGACGTAACGAAAAAATCATTACGTCGGGGGTCTGGGTCCCGCGCGTGCCGGCGCGCGCGCGCGTCCCGCCCTCCGAGACGGACCGCCTCTCGAGGGCACCGGCCCCCTCGGCCGCGCGCAGGAGGAGAGGCCCAGGCATGATCGCGCCGCACAAAAAAATCCAGGCGGATGGGGGGTCGCTTTTTTCCGGCCCTGGGGGGCCTCGCCGGGCCCCGAAGAGGTCAAAGAACGGCTCAGGATAAGAAACCTGTCTTGGGGAAAGGGTCGGGATCTCTGGAGACGCCGCATTGAAAACATCAAGACGTCACATGTCTGGGGGGGGAGGAGGGAAGGTTTCTTGAAAGCACCCTTGCTTCTCAGAGGGCGCGGACCTTATCCATAGATGTGAGGCTGGCGCCTTCTAAGAAGCAGCCTTCTGCTGAGAAGCCTTCCCCCCTCCCTACCCCCTCGTGCGCCCCCCCGACCCCCTCGCGTTGTGACAAAATCACGACAGGAGGTGTTTGGCGTTTTTTTTTTGTTTTTTTGTATTTTTTTATTTTTTTATTTTTTTTTTTTTATTTCCGGCCTACGAGGTGCCCTTGCAAGGCATGGGACCATCTAAAAAACAGGCTCAGGATGAAGAACGGTCCTGCGGTCCCGGGAAGGGGCCAGACCAATTCTTTGTTTTTTTTTTTTGTTTTTTTTTTTTTTTTTTTTTTCGTTTTTTATTTTTTTTGTTTTTTTTTTTTTTTTTTTTTTTTTTGGTTCTTTTTTTTTATTTATTTGTCTTTATTTATTCGGGGTGACGCCGGGGGGGAGGAAACCCAACCAACAAAAAGATATATAGACAACAACAACAACAAACAACAACAACAACAACAACAACAACAACAAAAACAAACAACAACAACAAACAAAACACCCAACAACAAAACAAAAAAACAAAAAAAAAGGCTGTACGCTCTTACTTGCCCGCGAGTCATTCAACACGTATACCCTACACCCTCGATACCCGCCCTCTTCGTCTTCGATCACACCCCTTTCGGGGGGATTATTTCTCTTTGCTGGGGCCGGCGGGCTTAGACGTACGGGCAAACCGGAACGGGCGGACAATCTTTCGGGGGCGTACATCTCTCTGCCCGCCATTGGAATTGGCGCGGGCCCTGCAAGAGGAGGAGGGGAAGAACGAGGGAGAGTGGGAGGAAGGGGAGGTGGAAGGACGAAGGAAGAGGGAAGATACCACGTTGTGAAGGCGTCCTTGGCGCGTGCGTGGTTCCTGAGCGCCGAAACGCAATTCCAGAATAATTTGTGAGGACGTCGCACGCGAGAGCGCAGTCCTGAGTACATTGTGAGGAAATCTCAAGCGGAAGCGGGGGCCCTGACTAAGTTGCGAGGAAGTCTCAAGCGGGAGCGCCGTTCCTGAGCAAATTGCACGGAGTCTCAGGCGGGAGCGGGGGTCCTCACTAAATTGCGAGGAAGTCTCAGGCGGGAGCGCCGTTCCTGAGTCAATTGCGCAGAAATGTCAAGCAGGAGCGGGGGTCCTGAGTAAAATTCGAAGAAGTCTCAGGCGGGAGCGCCGTTCCCACGTAAATTGCACGGAAGTCTCAGGCGGGAGCGGGGATCTTGATTACATTGCGAGGAAGTCTCAGACGGGAGCGCCTTTCCTGAGTAAATTGCGCGGAAGTCTCAGGCGGGAGCGGGGGTCCTGAGTAAAAATCGAAGAAGTCTCAGGCGGGAGCCGTTGTTGTTGTAGCCCGGGGGGCAGGGGCACAGTTTGAGCAGGAAGACTTTCCTTGAGAAAAAACAAGGTGCGAGCCCCGGGGGTGGCACTTCAATCGCAAAAAAATCAATGTGCACCGGTGGGGGGGGGATCAACAATAATTATTCTTCAAGAATGAGAGTTCAACAACAACAACAACAACAACAACAACAACGGAAAGGCGTACACTCCGGCCCTGGGCAGGGCCGGAGCCTCCAGTGTCACTCCCCCGGTGGACGGGCGCACACTCCGGCCCCATCCTGAGACGTTGTGTGACGACGACTTCTCCGGCCCTGCGAAAGGCCATCTGCAGTGGTGTCGCGCCGCGGTGAGCAAACGTACACTCTGGCCCCGTGTGCACCGTCATATGTGTTGTTCCCTCCACAGAAAACGCTCCCCGTGCGCTACCCCTTCTCCGGCCCCGCGTGCAGCTAAGACACCCTCAGGGACCCTCACGACTCCTGACGAAAGCTAAAGACTCCCTCAGGGACCTTCACGACGACGACGGCGGCGGCTGCGCCGGGATGCGGATTTTTTTGGGGTGCCTCCCGGACGCGTCTCGCACGGCTCCTGCGGCACTCGGCCCCGCGCGAGGGAGCCTGCCCGGCAGAGAGCCCGAGGGCCCGCGGAACTCGGAGGGAAACGCGGGCGCAGCATGCTAGCATGAAGCAAGCGGGCCCTGAGGGAAAGGGGTCCTGGAGCCGCGGGGCTCCCCCGCTTTCACCCCGAGTCGGTCGTCCAAAGTCGGTTTTTCCCCGGGTTTCACCCCGAGACGGGCTCCCCCCGTTCTCACCGCCGAAGAATTGTATTAAGATATCCTGCGGAATGCTGAGGAGCCCCGCGGGATCCTGAGACACCACTGGGGAAATCCTAAAAGAACCCTTTGGGGTCCCACGGGTTCCTGTGGGATCCTGGGGAATCCTTGGGACTCGGGAGGCATCCTGTGGACTCCTGAAGGATCCTGGGGAATACAAGCGAATCCTGAGGAGCCCTGATGTGAGCCCAGAAGAAGCCTAGGGGATCCTGAGGGATCCGTGTCGGTCCTGTGGAGTCCTTTGGGATCCTGAAGAATGCGACGGTGCCCTGAGGAATTCCGAAGGGTACCCCCA